CTCTTTCTGGGGACACGCTTATTTTTTCTTCTGTCTCTCATCCTTCAGCAGCTGCATGAGTGCTGCATCATCATGCACTTTCTGCCACGAATCCTTAGCAGATCGCTCCAAGTTCCATCTCCCAGCTGCACATGCGGAATCATCACTTCTGTAGCCTTCTCTCTTGATGCCCAAGTGTCTTACTCTTATTTGTGCTCGTTTCCACACTCAGTCACATAGTAATAGAAGTGACCAGGGCTTTACAAAACCTTTGCCATCTTGTGCTATGCTGTCTTATATAGTATATAAAATGTATTAGGTTTTCTCATTGTTTGGAAGGAAACACCTCAGGATTTCTAAAAATATTCAACATTTCACAGAGACACGTTGAGTCTAGCTCAGATCTATTTAAACTGCAGTGTTAGATGTTTGTTCCTACTCCATGTGATTAATACATGTTGGGATGGTCAAGGAATTCGTGCCAACTGTGGATAAAGGGCATATATGAGATAATAAATTAACTGTTACTTAGCATGATGTAGCATTCATCTGGCATTTTAATTTTAAACTTTATTATCTTTAAACTTCATTAAGATATGATTGATTTTTCTAAAACACAGATATCTAATGTATTATTAAGACTAAACAAATGCCAAACATCTTCCCTATGCACACATGTGCACACACACAAAAAATTCACACATGCACACATTAACAGAAATACGTTTGGAAGTCATAGATATGTTTAGTAAACAGGAAACAAATCTTGAGTTTGGTGATGATGCCATGAATATATGTAGATGCCCATACATATTAAGGCAGTATTTTTAACTAAAGAAAAATAAAAACAAATTAATACATTTTATTTCTCTGATATGTTAATGAGAAAAATTGCTTGTGATTGACGTGTTTTCTACTATGTCTCAAACTTTGTACTAATGTGTCTGTGTCTAAAATAATGGTAATTGTAGTGAGAGATCTAGCCAGCTTCACCTGCGGTGCTGAATACACCTGTTTGGACATGGTCACAGGTGCATACCTGAGCCTGTGAGATTTGGTCTGGGGTATGGAAGAGGCTTGCCTTCTCTTGGTTCTAGTTGGGTCATGGATAGCAGCTTGGTGTGGATCCTTAGAACTGGAACTTGTGGGTTGGGTTTCTCATGTAAGTGACTTCTCCCCAAATAAAATTAACCTATATTTATCCTAGTCTTAATCTGTACACATACATGTTATCACTGGGTGTTTGGTAGGCACAACCAAGTATACCATTGATAGAGCAGATGGTATGTGAAATCCATCAGAGTGATGCCATAGACTATTTGTGTCTAAGCAGAAACTCATTCAAGTTTATACTTAGCACTTATTTTCTTCCAGTATTGTGCTAAGATTTAGAAATCAACTACCCAGTTCTGACCATACCAGTCCTTGTGCTTGGATGTGGGCTTCCATTTGTCCAGAGGGTGTAATCTGTAGTGGTTGAAACTTGGACTGTCTTTGTCATGCTGCCTGACCTGCTTCTGCACCTGCATGAAATGTTCTTGTCAGCCAGAAATTCTTCAGGGGCCATTGCTGGGGTGAGGCGGGAGTTCTGAGACTTTTTACCTCAGGGGTTCAGCACTAAGATAAATCTGAATTCCTTCCCCTTCAATCCTTCTGTTTCAGAGAGGCTCTGGCAACTCTGAATTCCACAGGCATCTGTTCTGCTTGCTCTTCATACATGGGAATCATTCTGCCTCAAGATCTAAATATTGCACCTGATTTGCTGTTATGTTAAATGATAGCAGCAATCTAAACTTTGCAAGTCAGGTTTTCATTTAATTTCCTAAATAAGATTTAGAAACATCCATCTTGGGTATACTTTGAAACCACATTGTCTCTCTAGAATGTATTCAATGTACTTGAGGATATAAGTTAAATGCTTTTAGGTATTAATTTAATTTCATAAAGCCACATGACAATATCTGTATGACAGTCTGTGCAGTGGCATCTAGCTATTACAAGGGTCCTGGCCAGCCCTGTGAGAAGTTATTTGCCTGTGTGTTAAGTACATCAGCAGTATATACTGTTTATTATATAAAAGAAAAGATTGCTTATTTCTTAAAAATTGTATGTCTCTTCTCACCAAAGGAATCTCTTGGATTTTTAAATCTGTTCATATGAAATTTATCTGAAATAAAATCTTGGAATATGGGGCTGGAGAATGACTCAGCAGTTAAGAGCATTTGCTGCTCTTGCAGAGGACCTGGTTAAGAGTCTCAGCACCCAGACAGCTCAAAAACATCTGCATCTCCATTTCCAGGGGATCTGATACCCTCTTCTGACATCCAAAAACACCAAGAACACACACATGAATACATTAAGGCAAGCACGCATACACATAAAATAATATAAAACACCTGCCAATATGTGTTTTTATTTTCATGTTAGAAAGTTGGAAATTTCCTTTACATACACATGCATGCACACGCACACACACACACACACACACATATATTTATTCCCAGAAACATACAACTCACACACGCATACTCATACACTGAACCCCCATCTGACCCCCACACATTCACATATTCATAGACATTCATAGACACACTCACAGATACTCATTCTCACAAGCACACACTCACACCAAACACAGACACACACACGCACCACATATGTACCCCTACACACAAATGAAAAGTTCACTTTAAAGTCAACTGTAAATAAAACAGTAATATATAAAAACCATAACGTGCCAATGAAGTTCATATTCTTTTTAGTATTTAGAATTAAACTTGCTTTGAAGAGAGCCACACTTGTGATATGAGCACTGAGGAAGCTGAAGCGGGAAGATTGGGAATTCAAGCTCACTTTAGGCTACAACATGGCTCTCTGTCTCCAAAGCAAGACAAGCAAAAGCATAGATTTTAAAGAGAAATTATTGAAATGCTTTATGTTTTTAACGGAGTTTGCCTTTTAGATAACATCTTTATTCATTTCCTTTTTGATTCTTATTGGACGACATGGCATCCCTTCTGGGTTGGATTCTTCCTGATGAAGATTCAGTATCTATGACTTGTGTCTAAAAGGGTATGGGAGGAATATGCTCAAAATACATCACACACTCAAATGAAATGCTCTTATGTAACACTGTATAATAAAACTAAAAAAGATAGACAAATTAACACAAATGTCATCATGTTTTGTCCACAGTTCAAGGAAACAAAATAAATAGAATGCCATCAACAGGGCATCAAAGTAACAGAGGACACTGCCCTAAACAGTTATTCAGAATTATGTGATACAAAATTAAATGCCATGAATAAGATAAAAATAAACAAAATAGAATGAAAATCTGTTTTCCCATTGATAAGTAAAAATAAAATCAATTTCAATGAGGGTTCAATCATGGGAATTGTATATCTGCATCCCCAAGGCTTCGGTTAAGGAAGTACGCTAATTAGAATTTTAAAATATGCATTTAGGGCTGAGAGATGGCTCAGAAGATGAGAGCTTCATGCTCTTATAGAGGACCTGGTTTAGGTTTCCAGCAGGTGTATCATGCATCTCACAGACACCTGTACCTCTAGCTGCAGGGAATCCCGAGTCTTCTTCTGTACCAACAACACTTGCGCTTAGGAGGGCATATCACCACACATAACCTGTACATTTCTACATCATTAAAAATGAGTCTTTTGAAAAAGTAAAAAATCTGTATATTGGACATTTTCCTATTGTGCAAAACAAGGAGAGCTCACACACATTACATTTTAACACTATTTACAACTAAAAAGACGCATTAAGAAGGAGGTCATCTATGTTTTCTGTTAGGGATTCATAGACAGATTCTGAGCTCACTGACAAGACCCTGTGCAGCGTTCTGACGTCATTCGTTTGCGCAGGTGGGCCTTCCAGTGTCACTCCTGGCGCCCACCCCTCCGTGGAAGCACAGCATATGAGAATGTTCTGGCACGGTTTGCTTAGGTGTAAACAGGCTGAGTGGGTCACTATTGAGTGATGAGTGATGCTCGTGTAAGGGATGCAGTAAGAGTGGGAATCATGAAAGGGTGTTTTGGGAAAGGCTAAACACATTACGTGAGGATATAGTTTTTGAGGCCTGGAATTTTGACTGCTGTGGCCTTTTGAATAAAAGTAATCACACCACATCCCCTTCCCTTTCCTTCTTTTGACTCTTCCCATGTCTCTCATCCCTCTCAAACTTACAGCCTCTTTCTTTGACTTTTTAATCAGTTCACAAAAGTGGAAACTGAGCTACTGTCTAGCTTCTGTCAGGGGCAATAGTAATTTAAGGGTGGACTAACATAATCTTGATGGTAAAAGAAATATGACATTAATATTTGCTCTCTTTACTTTGGGGAGACAACAACAACTAATGATTTCTGCTTTCAGGTCATATGTTCATAAGCAATTTTATGTATTTATATAAAAATATGAGAACTGCTCCAATGAGGAAGAATATGTTTACCTTCCTCAGGGTGGCTCACATACAGTACTATGATTAGATTCAGAACCATTTACTTCTTTTTTTTTTTGCAGGAGCAATTTTATCCCTCAGAAAAACACGCAAAATTGTAACATGTAAAACAGAAGTATGGACTTACATTTAAATTATTAGAAACATGCAAAGTATTAGATTAACATATAAATTATTGCTATTTACAAGTCTATAAGGAATATTAATGAAGTTTAATCCTAGGTTCATTTCTTTAGAGATTTTGTATGATTTTACTAAAGACTATTGGCAGCCTGACTAAAATCCAGCCATGAAAACATATTGCCTTGTGGTGAAATGTCTCCCCTACTACTTTCCCAAATTATTAGACAATGTAAAGCAAATCATCAAATAGTTGCCCATGAGATGTAGTGGGTTGGACCTTGAGATTCAACACTTACTCCTCCTTGTGCTCACATTTGTCTTGGAGGGGAGAAAAGAGAGATCTGACAGTGATGGAGTATTACACCACACACTCTCTACCCAAGTTAATCTCCACTCTACTAAGTAAATGTTATTTTATTATTCTAATGTCTCAAATAAAGCTGACACTGTGAAGGAGTCTATCAGAGTTTTAGAATACACGCTTGCACTTGATTTTATGAAAGTCAAGTAGATAACGTGAATTCTCTCAGGAATTCCACACTTTGCCAACATGCACAGCTTGGCAGAATAAATACAACTTGAGATCAGGGGAATTAATTGGCTGTTTACACAGTTTAATTGCAGAAAAAAATAAAGATCATTAGTGAGAGATACTCTAAGTTATAGCCAGAAGCATTCCGAATGATTTCATGGTTGAAGAGAGCATCTAAATAAAGATGGTGAGTATTTCTTCCAGTGTGTGTCGCTGCCCCTCCCTGTAGTCACCTGGATCCAGGTGGTTCTGTATCTCTTCTGTGCTGGCGGTATGGGAGCTATTTCATATCCTCAGCAGCATCTCTCTTTCAGAGGAAGCTATTCCAGGACTAAAAAACTATGCTGTAAGGAGGACTTCGTTATGTCATCAGTTCTCACATTTGCTTTCTCAAGTCTCACTACTGTGGTCATTGCATCCCTCTGTCATAGAGACATGGAAAGAGTTAATGAGCTTGTTTTGTGTATTCTTTAGCTCACTACAACCAATTATCAAAGGTGAGCTTCTCATTAATATTTTTCTTGGTCTTCCTAAACATAAATGTAAAGAGAAAAAAGGCTATAGTGTTTCAAGAGAGATGCAATAAAAATACCCAACTGGTTTACTGTTTATTTTAAATAGAGGTAAATTCAATGCAACTATTTTACTACCTTTTTCTATGTTATACACATTCCTAATTTAAGAAAGATTCCTAAACTTTTAAAGATACTCAACTTAAATTAGACTTTTGAATTGTTTTAAATGATTTGCATCTAAATGAACAATATGGGAAAGACTTTTGTCATAATTTTTCATTTATTTGTAATATTTTTTCATTTATTTCACTACTTGATTCTTTTAGGTATTGAGTACTATAGTTTTTCCCATAAAAAAGCACATTTTAAATTATCAACTATTTCAATACAACTCTGTTACTTAGTGTACAAATCATAAAATATGAATAGCAACTAAGTTTTAGGGAAAAAACCGAAGTTTTCTAAGAACAAAACTAACACAAAACTAGAAGTTACTTTCCTTGCTTCCATATTTTGGGAAACAATATGGCATATAGCAAGTGCACAGAGCCCTAAGATAGAAAACAAAAGTAAAAACAATGAACAGTAGGCTCAAAAGTATTTAAGAATGGTATCCATGACCTCATTTATAATAAGGTCTGCAGCTATTTCTCAAAACCATAATGTGGTTTGCAACATTCCTATTCACCTCACAGCTGAATAATGCATTGGAATATGATTTACATAGAGCCTAAGGAAGCATTTTAGTAATTCCAGGTAATATTGCTAACGTCAAGAAGCAGCACCTTGGGAAATAGTTAGATAGGCACACAAGTTTTTGGAAGAGCATATTCAAGTTCAGGCATCCAGGCGTGATTTCCTTAGCTTGTTCTCAGCCATGCTCATATATTGATTTGGTAGACTGGTAAAAAAAGAAAACCTAGGTGGATTATTTCCAAGTCAGAAAACCTCCTTACAAATCTGGCAGTTGAATCTCTTCTTTTTATTATGCAGATACATTAGGAAGTCTCCAGAAATGTTGAAAATGTCCTTAAAGAAGACAAAGTACCTAGTATGAATATATTCCATAGGAATTAATTTGAGTGATCACTGTTTGCAGGATTATCATAAATATATACAAATAAAATCCCACTTTTCTCTATTTTGTGTTATATAATTGTTTCATTAAAAATTTTTACTCAAAATTATGTTAAAATAGATGAGAATTAAATGAAACTTCAGATGATAAAATGAGTCATATACTAATAAATTAAACAGGCAAATTGGATATGTAAATTAAACTTTATGAGATATGATTAGCATAATATAATGTCTAATTGTTCTTCACAAATAGTTTTGTCTAGTAAAGATTTCATCTATAAGTCAGTGTCAGTATCTTGTGGTTACAGCATTTTAACGACAATCTTATTCTTTCTGTTTTTCTAGTTATAAGCCCAGGTGAACAAGATCATCCCCATGGGAAACATGTTACCCAGCATGAAACCAGTGACAGATGGGAGTTGCAACATCAAAGGAAATTTCTGTGTTCCTTTCCAGTCTGAAGACACATCCCAGCTACTGGAAAGGCAAACTTCTCCAACTGGTTTTGATTTTCTTCAAATTTTTCCCCTCTGGAAAGGACTGAGTCGAATCCCATAGGCCTTTTTTTGCAAGATCCTTCAGTCTATGTGTAGTCTTTCAGAGAAACACTGGCCACTGTCTCAGAGAAGTGTTTCCACTCAGGGCAAATCTGAGATTCATTGCCTTGTGGCTTTCTGAAACTAGATAAGAAATGGTAGGCTTAGTGGAGCTACAGGAAAAGTGAAGAGGAAGCAAAAGGATTGGTTTTGAGTAGAATGGTAGTTTAAGGGGTCAATTTTCCTTTGGCTAGTGAGATTCAGTAGTAACAATTAAATCTGGCCAACCAAATTGAAGCAGAGCTGACTCAGCATAACTGTGGTGACTTCTTCCTGTTTTGGCTCAACTGAAAGTAAATTCAATAATAACCCTGGAACTAAAAGAATAATGGTAGAAATAGCCCTTTTTTTTGGTTTTTACGAGACAGGGTTTCTCTGTATTGTTTTGGAGGCTGTCGGTCCAGCCTGGCCTCGAACTCAGAGAGATCCACCTGCCTCTGCCTCCCGAGTGCTGGGATTAAAGGCGTGCGCCACCACCGCCCGGCAGAAATAGCCCTTTTTTATAATAGCTACTTTCTCTGTAGAATTCTCACTTATCCTGTCTTTCTACACTATATAGAGGTGAAAATTAATAGCCATCTATTTATACATGTTTATTATATTTCAGTGTGATTTTCCAAAGTATATATTAAATTATTCTTCCTGAGGATCTTTTCACATCCTTATAATTTGAAACATTTTTTGTATCAAAATATTTTAGTTAATGGGTAGAAGGATGTTTTGGAGAATGAGAATAATGGGGATTTAAAAACTGCATACACCATATGTTCATATATGCTCTCATGAAGGCAAAAGAATCTTGGTCTTCAAGATGGCTTCATTTGCTGCATGGAACTGTGAGAGTATATCTGGAACCAATATGGGGAGGGCACCAACCACATTGGTGCTGCTTGGGGGTTGGGATCTCAGCTACCATGACTGGAGATACTCGAGCTTCCCTGTCAACGGTACAGATTTTGAATTCAGTCAGGCTTGATATGCAGCAATCAATCCAAAATGTTAACCATTCATGTCATATAAAAACATCATCTATGTTGGATATGTAGTGAAGATGTGTAACATCCATTTTGTCAGCAACATTCTGGTCATTTCTCCTGAACTGTCTATGTAGTGAGGGGAAAACCTCAATCTACAAATTAGTTTTCAGTTTAGTCTGTTTTTAATAATGAAAGAAGCCACAATAGGTCTTAGTGTTTGGACATTTTTAAAGATACTTAGAGTTCTCTGAGAATTGTCTTCAACATCCTGAAAAGATGAAAGAGAATGGGAATAAGTGGTGCCCTGGTTATGACACCTGTGTGTATACTCTGTGACTTTCAGGGAGGTGTTCTTATTTACTCTTGTCTTGATGAGTAACCATTGCCTGGTCTTGCTCTGGGTCTCCTATTGAGTCAACCATACGGCCCTTCTGTAGCCACAATCTCTGCTTCCACCAGGGCATAAACACCTTTGGATTGTGACTTTGGTCCCATTCTGCCTAAGTGTCCAATTCCGTAATGCTATTGTACTTTACTTGTAAGTATTTCACTCTAACCTTTCCTTGCTTCCTGGGCACAAGTGTTCCAGTTTAATTTGGTTCTCTCTCAGCTCTTTGTTGTGCAAGGTTATATGTCAGAGGTGGAGACTATAGTGCCCTATCATAGGATATGTTGCTAGGGGTGTGTGTGTGTTTGTGTGCATGTGCATGCGTGTGTGTGTGTGTGTGTGTGTGTGTGTGTGTGTGTGTGTGTTCATGTTGGAGAGCGATAAATTCTTCTATTTTCTTGATACTCTCACTTTCTATTATACCTCCCCTCTTGATCAAAATTAGAACAGGAATTTCAGACATGGTTATACTTATTTCTTTTCTTTTTTTTGTTCCATATCCATATATGCTTTTTTCCTTGTCTTTTCCAAAATAATAGTGAGAATTCTTTCCATTTCTTCCTCCTGTATCTCCTGTATTCTTCTAGAAACATAAAAGCATGAAATCAAGACGTTTTCCCCCTAATTATTTCAAAACAGACCAGCTTATTCACAAAATTCTGTTTTAGAATGTTGGAAAGTAAATTATGCCTGGTCTTCACTTTGTTTCTCCTGTAACAGGTGCTAATATCAATCAACAAATTACAGTCATCTGTTCATAAATGCAAAAGGAAAAAAAGCACACTGATTATGTACAAATATCAATTCTCATGGCCACCATTACCTCCACCTTCAGGGCACACAGGTGAGGGCTATTTGAGATTTCCTTCTTAATGTTGAAGTGGGAAACATTCATCCTTTGCATACAAGCAGTATGGAGAATGGAGGACTGGCTCTTTAGAAAGGCATTCAACTCTCTAGTTGAAGGCCAAGTAAGTATTCTGTTCCTATGATCCAAGAATCAGGAAGTATGTGTCCTATTCCATTCTAATTAATTGTGTTGCATTAAATTGTGCACTGGTTTCAATTACGTCTACAAGATCTATTTCACATGGAGTAGCCAACATGACCTCTCTAAGATGCAAATCATATTGTGCCTACTCTGCCTGAAAATACACAAAGGGCTTCCTATCCCACTTATAATAGAGCCAGAAGTCTCTGTGGCTTGCTCCTCTCTGCCTACTCTGTTGTGGAAGGGATGCTGCTTGCCCACTTCTCCATTTCATCTCCATCTTCTGGGTTTCAGTCCCTGTGTACCAGCCTCCAGGTTCCCTGCTGGCTCCTCAGGGTGCTAGTGCTATTGTCTCCAGAAGAGGGGACTTGTACATGCTGCTGCTTTTCACCAGAGAGCTGACTGACTTTTCTTGGCTACCTTCTCCCCCCAGGGTAATCAGTTCCTTTTTATTAAATTATTTTTTATTATGACACTTTAGAAGAAGTAATGTTGACTTCGTTACTCTGTACACATAAGCATGCATTCAAAGACACAGTGGAAAATCCTCAAATCAAAAGGCTGTGTTACATTGTGAAGTAGACTTTGATATATTGTTTTCAATTTGGTAGTACTGGATCCTGTGTTGTTTAAAAAATACCTTTTTTGTGATGAATAAACTCACCATATTATCCACAGTTTGAATGTCAGTCCATGTTTCCACAACGGTGTCTCAGAGTTCCATGGCGGCTTGAAATACAGTGTCTTCTGGTCTCAGTTTTTCTCCTGGTATGAGTTTTCTTCCACATCACCAACGTTTGCATCCAAATGTTACAGTCTACTGTAGTCTTTTTAAATATACTTGCTTAGTTTGTTTTTGTTTTTTCCTTATTCTAGCTCTCCTCAGAAAATAAATGCATGAAGGTCAGGACTTTGCATTTGTTGAGGCATTCTTTTTTTTTAATTTATTTACTTATTTTATTTTTAGTTTTTTTAAACATTTTTAAAAATTTTAAATAGCTTGTTTTACATGTCAATCCCAGTTCCCTCTCCCTCCCCTCCTCCCACACTCCCCCATACCATCCCCCCCATCCTCCCACCCTATTGCCAATTCCTTCCCCATAGGGGATATCTAGGGTCTATCATTTCACTCAGGGTAGGGTCCAGGCACTTCCCTAAGAGTCCAGGCAGAGAGAGCAACCCTCTTTGTGTTATGGACACACGATGTCTGTAAGTATTCGAGGAATAAACACTGATCCACTGCTCAGGACCCCATAGATAACCCAGGCCTCCTCATTGACTCTCACATTCAGGGGGTCTGGATTGGTCCCATGCTGGCCTCCCAGCTGTCTGTCTGGGGTTCAAGAGCTCTCCCTGTTTGGATCATCTGTCTCTCCTGGTTTTGCCAGCCCATTCTTTGCCAATTTGCTCTTCACTCCTCTCTCTCTGTCACTGGGTTCCTTGGGTTCTGTTCAGTTTTTAACTATGGGTGTTTGCCTCTGCTTCCATCAGTCACTGGATGAAGGCTCCAGGATGGTTATAGACATCAAGTTCACTATAAGGAATGGGCATTCGAGGTGGTCTCTACACTATTGCTTATCTTGCCAATTGGTGTCATCCTTTTAGATCACTAGAGGTCACACTGGTGCCTGATGTGTCTTCTAACCTATGATTCCCTCTTCCCCCTATTTTACCCCCACAGTCAACCTTCCTGTTCCTCCATGACATACTCTCTCTTCCACTTCTTCCACTCTCTATTTCCCAGGTACCCCTCCTCCCACCCCTCGCCGTGTTCCCCATCTGTTCAGAGGATCTTGCCTCTTGGGTACCATGTATAGCTTTTAGGTTCTTTCCTGTTTCCCAGACTCTCTGTCAGTGGAAGTGCAGATTGGCACTCTCCTGATCCATGTTTAAAATCCATATATGAGTGAGTACATACCATGCTTGTCTTTTTGTGACTAGGTTACCTCACTCAGGATGGTTTTTTCCAGTGCTATTGTGAGACTGTGAACATTTATTTTGTCTATGTAGAACATGCCAGTATGTGTCTACTATATAGCAAATGTCATGTGTCTGCTGTTATTAATACTATTATTTATATGTTGGAGTGCAACAACTAATTATAGATTAGAAAGCCTCTCTTTCTCCTCTTTCTATTATATATATGCATATATATTATTGTGACTCATATTAATAAAACAAATATTGTCTATGTTAATGCCATAAAGTACCAGGATGACTAGAGCCATTATCTATATAGGACTCTCATTTCAAGAGAAAAAGAAGACCAGAAACTTGGAGTGAGTCTTTGGCTTCTGAGAGGTTTTAATTATGTGTCAAATGGCTGGAGTAAGGAATCCAATTCAGGAGGTGAGAGGAGATGAGAGGAGAGCCCTTTATAAAAATAGGAAAATCATTTCCCCCCATCCTTACCTATGGGTTGGTATAGAACTTTTACAAAACCATTGGTTTGGATGCTGTAATGTTATCTCACAGGTTAAGACTAAGATGAAGGGGCTAACCAATTTGTTACTTATTGTGAGCTGTTTGATTGAAAATCTATCTCTGACTTCATATATGCATCTAGGTTGCATATAACTGTTAAGGATAGATATGAATAATTTAAGAACAACAGTAGGAGTAAGGGAGGTGCCTCAGTGGGTAAAATAGTTGGCATGGAAATATGAGGATCTGAATTCAAACCCTATCACTCAAGCAAAGCCGGATGCTATAATGAGCATCTGCACTCTTAGTACTTCCTTGGGAAGAATGAAGGTAAAAACAAGAAATTACTCAGAACCTCTGTTTCCCCAGACCCAATAACCCAGTGTCATCTCTAGCTCTGCAGCCGAGCTGAATACCTGTGACAGACTTGCGTACCCCCACTCCTGCTCCCCTCTCCTGTGGATCTCACAGATCTTCCCCTTCTAACTCTCTCCATTCCGGTTGTTTTGTTCCTGTTCTCAACCCCACCAGTGACCCTGCTGCATCAGTCAGGGCATGTATAGTTGACCACGGTGAATGACTGTTTTGATGTGTTCTTGGACCTGATTTGCCAGTATTTTATTGAATATTTTGCAACATATGAAAATCCATCAATGTAATCCACCATATAAACAAGGTGAAAAACAAAAATCACATGATCATCTCACTAGATGCTGAAAAATCCTTTGACAAAATCCAACACCACTTCATGATAAAGGCCTTGGAGAGATCTGGGATAACAGGAACATAACTAAATATAACAAAAGCTATATACAGCAAACCAACAGCCAACATCAAACTAAATGGAAAGATACTCAACACAATTCCTCTAAAATCAGGAACAACACAAGGCTGAACACTCTCTCCATACCTTTTCAATATTGTACTTGAAGTTCTAGCCAGAGCCATACGACAACAAAAGGAGATCAAGGGGATACAAATTGGAAAGAAAGAGGCCAAACGTTCACTATTTGCAGATGACATGATACTTTACATAAATGACCCAAAGAACTCTACCAGGGAACTCTTACAGCTGATTAACACCTTCAGCAAAGTGGCAGGCTACAAGATCAACTCAAGTTAATCAGTAGCACTACTATATACATATGATAAAAGGGTTGAGAAAGAAATCAGAGAAACATCACCCTTTCCAGTTGACACAAACAACATAAAATACCTTGGGGTAATGCTAACCAAACAAGTGAAAGACCTGTAACGCAAGAACTTTGAGTCTGTAAAGAAAGAAATTAAAAAGTCCTCAGAAAATGGAAAGATCTCACCATGCTTTTGGATAGGTAGGATCAATGTAATAAAAGTGGCAATCCTGCCAAAAGCAAACTACAGACTCCCAAGGCTAAGCACTGAGCTGAACCCCTGAAATCCAGTGCCATAGAGGGAGGACTGATGACCAAAGGGGTTAAGACTGGGTTGGTTTAACCCCCAGAAACAACTGACCTGACAAGGGTTAGCTCTTGAATCCCAGACTGATGCCTCAGATTCCAGCATGGGACTGATCAAGACCCCCTGAATGTGGGTGCAGGCCTAGGTAATCTAATGAGCCTTGGGTAGTAAATCAGTATTTATCCCGAGTATACAAATGGACTTTGGGCTCCTGTAAAACACTGAGAGATCCACTCTCACCCTGGACTCTTGGGGGGAGGGTCTAGGTCCTGCCCTGAATGAAATGATAGGCTATGGACACCCCAATGGAGAGCCTCACCCTCCCTGAGGAAATGAGGGGCTATTGGGGGGGTTGGTGGGAGGGCCAGGGAGGAGTGGAGGGAAAGGGAGAGGGACCTGGAATTGACATGTGAAGCAAGCTTGTTTCTAATTTAATTTAAATAAAAAATGCTTGAAACCCCCCAAAAATATAGGAAAAGGAACATAGACAATACCCCCCCACACTCGCAGAATCAAAAGTCTCGCTAAATACACAGACACATTCTCAAAGGCAATTATAGCACCTGTTACAATCCTAACAACATAGAATGTCAAGTTACCTTCTCCTGCATGTCAGAACAAATTATCGGAAGACAGTACATTACTAATAAATACAAAAATCTATCCAGCTACTTCTGGGTATGTCAAATGTTTCAAGTGCTACGGGGAAGGAATAGAAAAAATATGAAAAATAATCATTTTCTTGTGACTTTTACTTTTGGGATTCATATTTAGTTACAGTTCAACAATGTGAAATTGCACTAGTGTGGGACAGTTCAGTATCATGTATTGAAAACTATTTGTTAGAAGAACTCTAATTCTGTGACATTGGAATGAAGATGCTACATTGAAAGATAGCTACCATGGAGATATTAGGAAAAAATGAAGACGGAAACTGTTACAAACTATTATCAAGTGACTTCTAGGGCAGACTGGGAAACAAAAAAGAATAACAATAACACAAAATGCAGAGGGTATGAACTGAGTCTTATTTTTGTAAGTAAAATGTGAGGGAAAACACACACACACACACACACACACACACACACACACACACACACACACACTTTCATATAATAAATCCCAAGAAGAAAAAAAAACCAGAAATTACTGAAATTGTTCATTGTATTTATCTTTCTAAAAAGCATATTTCTGGGGCTGGAGAAATAAGTTGAGTAAGATCATTTTGGTGCTCTTACAAAGGACCCAAGTTTGGTTCCCAGCACTCACATCATGGCTCACAATTATCCATAACTGCAGTTCTAGGAGAACTGCTCTAATTCATTAAATATTTCAACCACAAATGGATATTAACTTTCATCAGTTATTTTTCTTTCTTCATTGGGCGGTTTTTCTGACATATTGTTTCTCCTGAAAGCTGTAGTGTTGTTTGCTATTCATTTGTTTTGTGTTTATCATACACACCCAGTTCGTAAAACCTGCTGAAAGGTGATGTTTGCTCTTCACACTTTGGGAGGGAGCACCCTTATTGTGTCTCCTTTGTGGAAACTCTTTCCTTGACCTCTGCTGGCTTCCTCCCAGGCACTCCACTGATAAACATGTAGCTTGGTACTGTAAAGGGTGAGAGTTAACATAGGATCTGTTCTCGAGACAGAGATGTCATATGTCCTCTAACTAGAATTGGAAAATTACTCTAGAAAGGACTTTTCCAGGTACCCAGAGTTCGTTGTATCACCCAGGGTAGGTCTACTAATTACTTTCCTCCTTTCTTATATTTCTTTATACTGATTGAGTACACTTTTGTTTTTTACCT